TAAAATTATATTGTGCCCATCTTGTATGAATTCAATGACATTCATCTGTTCTTTTCTGGAATTTAAATGTGCCAGTTTACTGAACACCACTGTTACTGAGCCCTTTTCCTCAACTGTCTACAGGCCCTGCAAAATGAGATCTTCTTCCATCTGCTTGATATGAAAGAGCAAAGTTCATAATATCAACTGCTATTGCTGATGCTACAGCATGAAAGGCTTGAGTTTTTGTGGACTTGTTAGATTTAATGGCTAGGCCAACATCCTAACCATCCTGTCTTAGGCATTCTTCTTTGTGCAACCTTCATCTTTGGGCTGATGAGGTCAATTTTCAGTTATTTAAAACAACAACAACAAAAACCAGAAGTGTCTGTCAAGCTAGTATATCCTATTTAAGGGAAAAGCAATGGAAAAGGAGGTATTGATGAACAACATGCAAGTAACACCAGCTGTATTCTAGGCTGCATCAAAAGAAGCGTGGCCAGCAGGGCAAGGGAGGAGGTTGTTCCTGTCCAGTCTGCTTTCATTGTATTCCACCTGCAGTACTGCATTGAGTTCAGGGGAAATAATGTTATTCAAACACTCAACATCTTGCAACAGTGGAGATGAACTAGTGTTTTAATGATAGAAATCTTTAGAATTAGTCCTAAGCTAAAGATGGGGTCAAAAGGTAAATCATTATCCTGTAGCTCTTAGCTTTAATTCCAAAGTAAGGGCATATTTCCAGACTGCAGATAACATTGTGTAACCATCAATGATAAATTATGACAATTTAATAGTAACTGCCTTAAATAGACCACCAAAACCAAAATATTCATAAATGTATCAAATGAATAGCGTCTGTCAGAAATATGTCAGCCATCTATTAAACTTCTGTTACAGTTCCAGCACTGCCAGAAAGCCTGTGAGAATTCTAAAAAAAAGACAGTGCAGTCCCTGATGTTCTTCCTGAAATGACTGACCCATCTTACCGAAAACATTTTAAAAATAACTTCATGATACATAAAAATAATTGCTATCATTGACCTAGCAGCAACATTTAGAATAGCCTTGAGGAATTCAGCATGATAAACCCTTAAGACTGCTTGGAAAATTTTCATCGTGAAGAATTTTCAGTGGAATAAAGGAATAGTTTTCTTTCAAAAATGGAAAACAAACAAGTTTGCCAGCCTGGTCTGTAATACATAGTTGTTGCCAGTGGAGTAACGTCTATGATCAGGTCACCCATTATGATAAATTCTATCTGGATGGAGCAAGATGATCTTTAAGGGTACATTCCACCTAAGCCATTCTGTGATTCTATGACAATATGATGATATTCAGTCTTCACACCGATATGACAATGATTTCTTTTTAAGTCTACAGTCAAATTGTGGTCTAATATCTTATGCTTTCTCTATCAATATTTAAAAATCTGATTTAATTCCATCAATTCTGTTTTCACTGATTAAAAAAACCCAGGCTATTCATCTCATACTCAAGTTAAAACCCCTAAATGCTGAAAATCATGCCTTCAATTTTGATATCCTTTCTAAGTTAGAAGATTAAGCTGGGGATAAACATACTGTCTGTGGTACATAAAACATTATTTGCAGTAATGCAAAAATACTTGAACGTGTTTGTCACTTGATTAGTACATCAAAATGAGAAGAGCCATGTGGACAGAAAAGAATTGCAGTTTCAGTCATGAATTTAATCTGCTTTGGTATTCTAGGAAGAATTAAAACTAGTATTGGCTTTATACTCAAATGTTAAACCAATTTAGTATCACGATCTATGCTACCTCTCAGAACTCTGACTAATAATATTTATGTATTGTGAGTCTCAGGAAATATGACAACCTTTTCTAGATTAACCATTACTTTTAATCTGAAGGTGAACAAGTCCTTAGTACTTGATGAGATTAACCCACAGGTACTGAGGGAACAGGTGGATGAAGTTGCAAGGTCACTATCCATCATATTTGAAAGGTCAGGCAGTCTGTTAAAGTTCCCACTGACTGGTAAAGTGAAACATAACCCCCATGTTCAACAGGGGGAAAAAAAGAGAATATAGGCCAGTCATTCTCACCTCTGTGCCTGGCAAGATCATGGAGCAGATCCTCCCAAAGGCCCTACTCGAGTATATGAAAAATAAAAATGAGGTGATTTGTGGTTCACCAAGGGCAAGTCATGCCTGACAAATTTGGTGGCCTTTTACAGTGGATGATGGATAGCATCAGTGGATAAAGGAAGAGCAACTAATGTCATCTGCCTGGACTTGTGCAAACCATTTGACACTGTCCCACATGACATCCTGGTAGCCAAATTGGAGAAAAATAGATATAATGGATGGACAACTCACTGGATAAGGAACTGGATGGTTGCACGAAAGCTTGAGAGCAGCCCTGAAAAGAAACGTTTGGGGATGTCAGCTGATGAAAGACTCAACATGAGCTGGCAATGTGTGCTTGCAGCACAGAAGGCTAACCATATCCTGAATTGAATCAAGAGAAGTGTGATCAGCAGGTCAATGGAGTTGATTCTGCCCCTCTACTTTGCTCTTGTGACAACACTACCTGGTATACTATGTCCAGTTCAGGAGCCCCCAACACAAGAACAACACGGAGCTGTTGGAGTGGGGCCAGAGGAGTACAATGAAGATGATCAGAGGGCTGGAGCACTTCCTCTACAAGGACAGGCTGAGAGAGCTGGGACACTTCAGCCTGGAAAGGAGATGACTCCAGGGGGATCTTATCCAATACCTGAAGGGGGCCTACAAGGAAAAATGTTTAGGAACTTTTTGGAAGGGTATGTAGTGACAGGACAAGGGAAATGGCTTTAAACTGGAAGAGGGTAGATTTTAGACTAGATATTTGGAAAAAATTATTTACTGTGAGGGTGGTGTAACACTGAAACAGGTTGGCAGCAACGTTGTAGAAGACCCCACCCTAGAGGCATTCAAGGCCAGGCTGGATAGTCAGCAACCTGGTCTAGTGGGGGGTGACCCTGCCTATATCAGGGGTTTGGAACTAGGTGATTTTAAGGGTCCCTTCCAACCCAACCATTCTATGATTCTATGACTAAGACTTGCCTAACTTGAAATCCTGAACTGCATTATGCAGCATATTTCATCCAGGATGAAATTAGAAAATACGAATTTCAGAAGGCATGGAAATTGTTTGGAAAAAGTACAGAATGCTGACTTGTCATTAATACCAATGAGCTTCAGTTCTTCTATTAAAAAGAAGACAAGACCTAGAACACAGAGTTATAAGATGACACATATATAACATTTAGCCAATGTTAAATTTATTGGTGAAATATTTTATAATCTTTGGTAAACAGTTATAATGAAAGAGAAACTGCACATCTAATGGCTATCTTAAAGAAGGCAGTGAAAATAAACCTCAGACATTTTTGTACATCAAATGTACTTTAGAAAGTTATATAGTAGCCTACAGGGAAAGGGATGCAGACTATGAAATGATAGCAATGAAAAACTAGGAGACAGGGGATGCTCTATAATGCTAAATAAAAAACATGTATTGAGAGTAATGAGTACTCTATGATGAGAGATTTCACCACTGTCTATTTAATGGCTTTAAAATATTAAAATGCAATAAAACTAAGAAGGAAAAAAGTATTTTAAGCATAAGCCTATTGATTATAAACCCAAATGCTAAGGTATTGTGCAGTCAGTCCAGAAGCAGAAAAGGATATGGAAGAAGAACATAGAGGTCTTTAAAAATGATCGCTTTTGATTGAAGAACTTAACAAGAAATATGGGAACTTATGGGTGGTTTCAGATTTTTAGGATAATTCTTTGATGCTGATGGGGAAAAAAAAACCCCGCTCTTCTGAATGCAAGTGAATGAAACAACAGACAGCATCTTGATTCTCTCCTATAGGATTTTTTAGTTAATGCTTGTCGGCATATCACCCCTTCTTTTTATTTTGTAAGAGGCAGTTCCTTGGTCTTGTTCACATTGTGATTTTAATTTTGATTATTATTATTTTAATTTGCTATTTGTTTTTTTACCATATCAGACGGGGAAATATTTTGACTTGCATAGATTCTGCTCCTCTTCGGTATGCAGGCTTCTATAGAGAAACCTTTGCTGTTTCCAATAAAACAAAACCAGTAAATTGCAACCTCCTCTACGTTAAACAAAGCAGAAAAGTACTGTTTTCAGCAATTTGCAATAGGTTCTTCCAAACTCATCATGCTATTACAAGCTTTGAACATTGGTTTATTTATTGAACTCGCTCCCCCATACTGCCTAGGGTTTGGTGTGTTTTTAATTTTTTCCCACTAGAAGTGCATCATTCACAGTCAGTGCAAAAAATGAAAATGTGATTTTCTTTTTTTAATTGATGGATGAATGATAGACTTTTCAAGGGTAGAGAGATGCTTTCTATTTCATTGTCAAACACAATGAATTTCTAGACCTACAATGTAATAAATCTAGGATGTGGCAAGTAGAATTTAACCATGTATTTAGAGGCAAGCACATGGTTGAATGCTCTGTTAACCCAGAGCTCAAGATGTTTCTAGAGTAAAACATACTGTGCTTAAAAAAGGGGAATAGACTATTTGTATTTCAAATGTTTGTACAGTGTTTGAAAAGTGTTATTGCATTAGCCCTGTCAGAATGACTTATTTACTGGCTAGTCTTCTCTGTATTATTTTTGCTTCGGTTTACAATTTGTTCATGTCCTAAAACAACTTACTTACAGAGTCAATATAACACTAATTTTATGCCAATTATTTCTAATTTCAAGCATTTTCTTATCTGATTAATGTCTGGTTGGCCCATGCAGCATCCTATATTCTCTTAATGCTGAACTGATGCAAAATACCAGTGGTTGATTGTGATACATGAAAACTGTAATAATGAGTGAAACTCAAGTCTGTCTGCAAATCTTTGTACAAAAATTACATTTCCTACCATAAGCAATGATGTGATCCCATTGGCTGTGTCAGTAAATTTGGTCTAATATGTCTCATTGTGTTTCCAACAGCTCTGGTCCTTAGCTGTGCAATATGTGCTCAATTCCAGCAATCTATGAAGATGAGACCTGAGTGGCATGATCCACTGGAGTGTCTTGATTTGTTTTGCGAGAAATTCAGATGTATGAACTGGGAGAAGATGATGGACTTTTCTAATAACTCTGTTGTTCTGATCAGGGCTCTGGAGACGTTACATCTCTGATGTCCGTGTTGTTTGGAGAACTTCATAACTGAAGGGACTCAATCAGGTACAGGTATCAGCACAGTTGTGGATGTACTGAAATCACATCAGGGCTTATATTCCACCTTGTGTACTCTGAGCTCCTGCAATTTAAATGATACCTAGCTGGTTGAAGCTGGCTCAGACGGACCTGACCCTACTGGCTGCAGTCATGGCATCACACACCTTATCAGAGTGCCTAGGCTTGAAGACCTAGAATAACGGCTTGACACTATCAAAGTCAATGAGATATTGCCATTAGTTCTATATGTCTTCATAGCCAGAAATCTTTCTAATTTCACCCCTATTAATGCTAATGTCAATGCAAAAAACTTGGAGAAACTGCCTGTTTGCATCACTACATTAAATCTTTTGCAGTATTTGTTTCTTCAGTACTGACTTTACTGGTGTTCTTTAAGTTATGCCCACTGTTCAAAGTGTCATACTGGAATACAGTTGGAGATTCTAATAAAGTAACTCAGAAGTATTTACTCATTTTCTTAATTTTTTTTTTTTTCCAATAAAAGAAACAGCTAATCAAAAATCGCTACTTGGTGCTTCAATAACTAATGTAATATTAGACACAATTAGGAGAATTTCTTGAGCAGACTTTACAGCTTATAAGCACATAAACTGTGTAGTTATTTTTGGGAAAAAAAGATCCAGTAGACTTTAATCAGCTGAAATGCTGTTCACTTCTATGAAAAAAAACCAAAACACAAATGTCTCAGGTACTAGCTTTATCTTGTAGACTGATATGCATATAAAGAGGGGGTGGAAGAAAAAAAAAGGGATTGTACACACTGCTTCCTGCTTAGACAAAATGTCCTTGGAAATTGCTCATTTAGAAAGCTGACTATCTTCCCAAAATAAAACTCGGAAGATAATATACCTTTCAGACTTTTTTAGACAGTGCCAAATTACACTGATAATGTAAATTCTGTACATGCAGAGACAACATCTTGTTTGACCAAAGAAAGGCTGGAAATTAATGAAGACTCTGTGTATGTTTTCCCTGGTGGTCTGAGTCGGTTACCTTGCTAACAGTGTTTAATCTTTCAAAAGTAGAACAAAGAAGCAAAAATTCCTATTCCAAACAGGAAGCACCAGTGCCTTCATCATTCACATCACTGTAATAACAGCAACGTAAGTCAGCAGCAGTGTGTGAATGCTAACCTGGGAGCCATGAATCACAGCTCTCAAACTTCTTCAGCTTGTGCTTTCAAAACTTGGTCTTTTTTAAAGTACCTTTTGCATGTGTTTGTTCTGTGAGTTCAACCATTTGTCTTTATCCTTTGAAAAACCATTTCTTTCGCCATGGAAAATTTTCCCTTTGAAAGAGTACATAGCAGCATTCAGCCAAATCAAACTTTTTTTTTTTTTCCCCTCATTTTTTTGATAAAACACTAGTTGGAGACGGTTACAATGCAAATACTTGAAGTCTCATTTCCATCTTTGCAGTCAGAGCATTCTTAAAAACAGCTCCAGCTCCAGGGAAACAAGCTCATTTATCTTTATTCCTTGTCTTGAATCTCAAATGAAAGATAACAAAGTAACAGCTTGCTTAGGAAGAAATTGAAACACATGTAATAAGCAGAAATGTTCATATTCCACAAGATAATTCACATTCTCATATCTAAGATAAATATTTACTTATGTCATCATTGAGAAGAATAGCAGATAAAATGCCAACAAGCTCAAAATTCTTTTATAATCAATACTCAAATCAAGTAATTTAATAATTAAATTACAAATGAGCCCATGTTTGAGGGAGCACTCAAGGCTGTGCAGCCATAGTGGTTCTTGCACAACATTATAACATAAAAGAAGGGATGCTGGGAACCAAGTTTGTTCTTTTTATTGGCAGCACCAGAATTCAGTCTCTCCATTCTGAATGCTGGTACTTGTAGCCTCGTAGAGACGTTATCAATTCTGGGAACTCTGCTGAAAGAAGGATGTTAGCACTGCAGTGGTTAAGTCTAAGCCTGTCAAATAGCAATGGAGCTGCCTATTTGGCCATTTAATTACAGCCTGACCATGAAGATGGAAAGTCCAGGGGAAACCAGGTGTACTCAATGTGCAGCCCAGATCCAGCTCCCTGCGGGAAACAATCTTTACAGCTCGTCATTCATTTTATATATCAAGTTTGAGTGTCATTTTTTTTTGGTTTGTTTGTTTGCAAAATATTGCATGTTCTGTCAGTAGGTAAAAATTCCATTTTCTTCAAGATTTTTTTTTTTCCATTGATCACATTAGAAGTGGCCACACCATCCTTTAGCTGTTTCACTTTTGCTCAACATTTTCATTTAGATTGATATTCCCTTCTTCCCTTCGGTCCCAACATAGTGATTGCTACTATATCATACTTGGACAGGTCTTAAGCAGTCTGTCAGGACTCCCAGATCTGTATTCAGATCAGTTTTATTTTGTGCTTTAGCTAGACTCCAGTTTATTCCAACATCTCAACGGCTGCTTTGAAATACAGCATATTTTCTAAAAAATTTCCTGTGTATCCAGCCGTTTCATGAGAAAATTCTGAAGCAAAGCCAGGCGAGGGATGTCTGAGATCTAACACTCCTGCACTACACTTTTATTTTTTGATTTTCAAGGTACTGATCCATAGCACTTCACAGAGAGACTTCAGAGTATCACAGCTCTGAAGTACCACTCCATACAATTGCCTCCAGGATGAGATTTACCAGTACTGATCTGTTCTCCTGCACCATGAACACATTTCAGAAATACATGTCTTAGTTTTCAGACAAAGTGACCCCTGGATGATGAGATTTCATATTGCTGGAAGAGAGTGCCTAATATGCATGTCTCTTTTTGGACAATTGTCTTCGTGCCATTTCTCTTTATTCTAGAAGACTGATACATGCTGAAAATCCATAGCAGCATGTTAGTATTCCCCGTGATAGTATACTTAAAAATAAAGATATTGTAGAGTACCAGACAAAATAAAACAGAACTTTTGTCTGTTTTTTTCTTTTCTTCAAGAAGAAAGTCCAGAACTCTCAGTGAATCATCACTTCTGTTCTAATAGTTACATGTAACATTCGTCTTTTTATCACATCTTAAACGTACATTTGGTAGTAAATTTTTTTGTGTGTGCTTCTTCTAAATGGAAACACTAAAATATGTACTTTTAGATTTCCTTTATCTAAAATTCCAGGCCCTATACATCACCAGCTTAAAAAAAACCAACATGAATTCTATTCAATTAAGTAGAAAATACATCTTGAAATTACCCATGTATTTCTAGAAGAAGAAGACTTGCTGAGCTGAGCATTGTACAGGAAGATTTACTGGATGTTAATTTAAAACCCGAAGTTCAGATCACAAAGCAAGAATTTCTAAATATTCATTATGGCCCTCTAAATTGCACTCCTTCCATCAAGGTTACACAGTTTATTAAATATTCATAAAACAGAGAACCAAAAAAAATTCTAATTGCAAATAAGTGCAATTGATGTAGATTGCATTATTTATGATTCCATTTGTTAAACTAAGACAATAGAAATTGATGAAAGACATTAAGTGGACCAAAATCTAAGGCAAATTTGGTACAGAATCAGGTTTTTTTCCTCTCTGTTTTTTTTTTTTTTTTTTTTGATTGATAGAACTTCTTGTCTATAACAATAGCTGTCAAAAAGACTGATTATTTCTGTCTGACTTAATGAAATCATAATTCCCATATGACACAATGCCACTACAAATGCACAATAATTTGTGATTAATTATTATTAAGCTTTAAGTGTCATTAGAAAAAAGTTAATAAATGGCTTTCCTGTATTTAAGGAGAAGCTCTCAACATCAGACAACAAAGATTTTATTACACTGAGAAGCAGAGTTTGAGCAGTTGTGTCTCCTCTGCACACTGGGGAGAGAGGAAACATCCTCCTTAGTGGGTGACCTCCAACTAACCACAGTTTAGTGTCATCTGGTAAGAGTGATGTTGGGACAAGATACTCAGATCATCTGGGTAAACCAAATAATGATCAACACTTCTGGATGCTCTGCTCAGACCTGTGGCATGCACCTACTCTCCTATTCCAACAGCTGTGTTGTACAAGACATTTTGCTGTGGTAGGATTGGGTGACGTTCCTCCAAAAAAATACAGAGGGGAATATGATCAGATGTCCACATGATACCTGAAATCCAGATGGAGTTAGATGAGATGGACTCTGACTTTCAGCTAGCTGGAATAAGCCTCACTTTAAGTAAGGACAAAAAATTGTAGGATAAACATTAAAGTACATGCAACAACAAGAAAATGTAGCAGCATAAACCATTGTAGCTGAACAGTCTATTTGTCTTTAGGTATGATATACATCTGTAGCCAAAAATACAAATCTTTGATATCTCCAACAGCTTTTTTTGTTTCTTTGCTAAAAGTATTTATATTTCTGCCTCTCACTTTTCTCTATAAGCTTTCATAGATAAAGATCCAGATCCATCATTTCTGTTAGGGAATTACTGATGCGTAGAGCTGTGGAAGGCAAAGGTCTTTCCTGCAGCAGGAGCCAAACTTCTTCTGCTACATGGAGTATGTCATGGTCATGACTTAGGTCTCCGTATGAGTTATCTTGTCAACTAAAAGGGGTCCAATTTTTCACCAGAACCCTCTGTATTTGGAGATTTCCTCCTCCTGACAGCCCTGTGACCTCACAGTTTGGAATTCAGTTCCTAATTGAAAATTTCCTAATTGTTTCAGCAAACTTGTCTTTCTTAGCTCCAGTGAGTGATTAAATACCCTTTCTCTTGCACTCTGATTTTTCCTTGCTAGCTTATCCACAGCTAATTCTGAGTTTCCTGTATGATATACAGTACACTACTATCTACTTAATGTTAGACCAAGAATATAACTTTCAGTTTCCTATGCCAGCCAGGAGCATGTAAATTAATAGCACAATATTTCTTCTCTTTTTGTTACCTTTTAATTCCCATGACTAAAGTGTTTAAGAATTTCTAATTACGAAAGATAATATACTCACTGAAACTAATAAGGAGTTCTGCCACAGGCTGCTACAGAGATAGCAGCAGAACTGAAGCTCTAAAAGAATATTAATTTGTCCTACAAAATGAAGATTGAACATTTCTATCATGCAGTATTCTATTGACCCGTGCAATTATCAAAGAAACTGTTGAGATTATGAGTTCTGAGTGCTACTCACACTACAGTAGGCTCTGTGCAGACCACTCCACCTCATAGTGTGTGTCATAAGACACAGGCTGGCCTTTGCTTTTCATATGTACTAATGAATGCAGCTGTGACATGACAAGAAATTAATTATCATGATGATACTACAACCTCATACAAGTGGGAAAAGTTTGAACTGCCAGAGTGGGAAAGGAAATGAACAGGAATTGCTTTTTATGTTGTGTGTTTACAACAATACGAGGCACAGGGACAAAACAGAAAAGACTTCAGGATACGCGAAGGCTAAGGAGCCTCTTGGAAGCAAAGTGCCTTCAAATTAGATGCCG